GATGAATAATGAAATATGCTCACTTATTAGAAAACGTAATAGGCAACACAAAATCGCTAGGAGAACTAACCGTCCGCTAGAATGGCAAAAATTCAGACCCGTTAGAAATAAGGTAATATCGTCTGTACGTAAAGCTAACAAGCAGCACACAAGCAAAATTGATATCGCAATAGGTGAATCAACTGGAACAAAAAGTTGGTGGAAACTAGTTAAGAATTATTGGCAAAATACATCGGCAAGAATTATTTGTCATACAATAATTGATGATGATGTTTTATACGATGATTTAAACGATATTACAGAAATTATGAATATCTATTTCACCAATTAATCTGAAGTTATAGACCCTGATGACGACCCCCCTCCTCCTGATGAGCGTTGTGATAGTACTTTGACAGATATAATATTGGAGATTGGGGAGTTAAGAATATATTGCTATCTGTAGATACTACTAAAGCAACAGGTCCTGATAAAATCGGAAACAAAGTATTAAAAACGTGTGCCAACCCACTAGCCCCGATCCTAACTAAATTGTTTAATTTGTCATTAGAACTGTCTAAGTTCCCCACCTTCTGGACAGAAGCGTACGTAATCCCTATCCATAAAACAGGTAATATATACGATTGTTCTTATTATAGAGCGGTAGCATTAACAAGTTGTATTGCTAAAGTATTTGAAAAGTGTATCTGTAGATATGTATATAATGTTCTGAGAGATAATAACCTTCTGTCAAATCTCCAATCTGTTTTTTTCTCCCGGCGACTCGACAACTAATCAGCTAACCTATCTATATGATTCTAAAGCACTAGACGATGGAAAAGAAGTAAGAGCGGTATTTTGCGATGTTAGCAGAGCGTTTGATAAAGTTTGGCAAAAGGAATCCTGCATAAATTGAAATCCTATGGAATTCAAGGTAACCTACTAAAGTGGTTTGAAAGTTATTTGAATGGTAGAACCCAGCGAGTTGTAATTAATGGACACACATCAAATCCTTGACCAGTATGAGGGGCGCGGTGGGCAAGCTGGCTAAGGCGCCAGGCTAGTGATCCAGCGAGCTTCGAGGTGCCGGGATAACATGTCCACGGGTGTAGAAACCTTGGAGTCAACTTTTTGCAGACTCTTTCAGTGTTGTCACAACCCCTAGTGTACAGTACACAACCCTGTGCACAAGAACCCACGAATCCGTTGGTATATGACCAGATGGTGGCCACATGAATACGTGCAAACACCTAGTTGCCGGTACAGCAACGTGCAGTGAACTTGGACAAAGTACTGTGACTATGTGTCCCAGTCAACCCAGCTGTGAATGGGTACCTCGTTAGGATGAGAAAGCCACAATAACTCGGTGCGCCTAGTGGCAGCAAGAGTTGTATACTCCCCAGGGAGGAGTTGACATTGATAATACGATGTGCGGTTGAGATTGACATCCAATGATCGAGGGAAAAAATACCAGCGCTTTGAGCATGCACTAGTTGCGTGGATATGTGCGCTATATAAATAAGCTAATAATAATAATTAGCAGGCGTCCCTCAAGGATCAGTCTTAGGACCCCTAATGTTCATAATATATATTAATGATATTGTAGATGATATTGCTAGAAATATTAGACTTTTTGCAGAGACGACACGTCTCTATATGTTATAATTGATGATCCTGACATTGCTGCAGACTGTTTAAATAATGACTTATTAAGAATTTCAAATTGGGCCAAAGAATGGAAGGTTCGTTCAATCCTAACAAAACAAAATCAATACACTTCAGTAGAAAACTAATTTATCAGCGCGATCAGTTAAATGTAGAACGATGACATATGCCATATCATTTCTACCTGATACAATAAAACTATGGAATTCCCTAAGTTCTGAAATTCAAAATATTGATACTTTATCACGATTCAAAAACTCGATATTAAGACCAAATAACAAAACTATTATCTTTGACCTAAACTATGGACCAAGAAGATGCCAAATTATCCATTCTCGTCTCAGGCTCCGTTGTAGTGATTTGAATGCTGTTTGGTTTGATAGACACATCATCGACAGCCCCTCGTGCTCATGTGGTCATCCAGTCGAAAATGCTGTGCATTATTTCTTCACATGCAATAAATACACGGAATTGAGACAAAAATCATATTTCTATTTAAAGGGGTTTAGTATCAACACTGTACTATGGGGATGTACATCCCTCACTAGCAATGATCTACACAAATTATCAAAATCTATTCATGATTACATAATAAGATCTGATCGATTTGATGTTTCATAACTACTTTGATTTTGACTGCTAAACAAACGAATCGATATTCATGCATTATCCTTATCTTGATTGCTGGTAAGACTTGTAACAATGTGTCATCTGTTTCTAAATCTGCATTTACTTATACATGTATTTGGTTATGGGAGCGGCCTTCCTCGGAGCTTGTTGGCCAATCCATTAATAATTTCATAAATAAAAATGTTTAAACCAAGAATAAACGTACTTTTCAAAGCGTAAACAAACAATATCCTGTTATTTTTAGATATGCCATGAAGAACTTCAAAAAAAATGTAATTAACATTAAAATATTGAAGGCTGTTGCTCGTAAAATATTTCCTTGTGTCAACAGTGAAAATAACTCCATAATGAAAAACAATTAACTTAAATATTCAAAACAAACACAAATAATCTCTGGTAGTTTTAAGACGTGTCACAAATAATTTCACAGCTGGTAGAATTAACATGAAATTATAGAAACCAATAGCTAATAAAATTTTGAAAATCCGTAATGTAAAGGTCTTTGTCACAAACACAGCTATTACTTCCGCCACATGTCAAATATCTGAATATCGCAATAATCCTCTGCGTAACCCTGCAAATTATCTAAACGTTACCGAAACTGTAATCGGATGCCTTGATACAAAAAGCGAACAAATTCCATCCATTAGTTTGAGGGATATCGTAAGCATACTCGCTGTGACCTTGAACATTATCCGAAGATCACTGAATTCGACTGGTGTTAGACTATACTCCCAGCACATTTTCCTAACATACTTTTAAGCAGAATATATTAATTCTTTCTTGTGTTTTCGCACTGAAAAGTTAGAAATGTGCAAAACAATACAATTTTCGCAGTAAACTCAAAATGAGCACAAGTTCCCCAATCAACTGGTGTAGGGGGAATCCCGCCAATACATCTTGATATAAAATTGGATCAAAATCTATCAATTCTTTCTTGATCGCGCTAACAATCTTTATATTGGAAAAACTCTCAGATTTTTGCTGTGACCTTGCAAATTATCTCAAGGTCACTTAATTCAACTGGTGTCTGTGAATCTCGCCACGACACCTTGGTACCAAATTTAAACAAAATCCATAATTTCTTTCTTGAGTTATCGCCCTCACAAGCTTATATGATGTTTGAAATGCAATGAAAAACGAACACACGCGTATTTACGAACGATTGAAACTGTCATTACAATTTACGTAAATATTTATTGCATTTTACCGCAACTAAAATTATTACAATTTACGTCAATTTTTATTACAATTTGCGTATTACAATTTATGTCAATTTTTATTACAATTTACGTCAAGGGTTATTACAATTTGCTGCAAGTATTACAATTTACGTTTTTACTACAATTTACGTCGTAACACGCGTATTTACGAGTGATTAAAACTGTTATTACAATTTACGTAAATGTGTTTGTTTTGTTAATACTGTAATAAATGAACCGCAATGCGATCAGACCATTCGAAATACGTAAGAAATCCCTGCAAAACACGAGTCCATCGTGTGATTCCGACTATAGCATGTGTTTATGAATCAGTATCATATATTGAGTGAGTGAGTGAGTATGGTTTTACACGGGCTTCCCATGTTAAATGTCATCATTGTTATCGCCCGCAACGCGTTTTGCGGGGTGCAAATTCCGTGCAAATTCGTCTTTTCCTTAGGTGATAAAAACCGTTCAATATTTCTTCACCAAACTTGGCACATAGATAGGTCTGGTGGTGCACTGGTGCCTTTTGGTAGTTTTGGATTTCTGAATAAATATTTTTGGCGTTTCCATGGCAACAACTCTGATTTGAACTAAAATTGGCGGTAGTCCTCCTTTCCGGAGCAGAACTTAAAAACCTTTCAATACTCTCCTCCCACTTTGTGGGTTTTCAAGAACCTAATGACATAAGTCAACAGTGCCACTCTATTTCCAGTATCAACATTACTGAGTTACATCAAACCGCAAAAGCATTCAGGCAGTCTGTTATTGATACAAGCATACTAGTCTTTGGACAGTTAACATATATATGTTTTTGTTTGATCTATGTGAAGAACAATGTAAGATTTAACATAGTCATAACTAGTTGACATATTCATGAAGAGTATTTTACTATTGCGGGGATATCGATGACTTTGTCTTCTTGTTATCTCATCACTGCTGTCTGTACAATGTGTGAAGCCCATTTCTGGTGTCCCCCGCCGTTATATTGCTGGAATATTGCTAAAAGCGGCGTAAAACTATACTCACTCACTCTGTTTATTTATAAATATAGTTATTTATTGTTTGTGTAACAACTTAAAAAAGAACGCAGTGGATATCATACACCCGCACACAGACAGACAGACAAAATAGTTTATTTATGTGTCACGTGAATGTACATGTCAAAAATCGCAACGGTAAAAAGAAAAAAAGGAAAATACAGACACCAGGCCAGATGGCCAATGAGACACACTAGACGATATGTGCATAAAATGTATAAAAAAAATATAAGATTAAAACGTTAAGGAGTATGCATGCAAACCCGCATGCACGCGCGCACACACGTGCGCACACGCACTAATACAGGCAGACACACGTCCATGCACGTCGCTATTTAAGATCAATATGCTTGACAATACGTTGATCGCTTCGCACATTACATCAATAATTATACCGGGTAACGGTCCCCAGGTAACCAGGGAAGCCTTTGTCATTTGCCGGGAACAATTCACTCAACCGTGGTAACAGCGCGCCAAAACACACCACTATACATCTGTTGGACACGCTCGCGTACGGCTATAGCTTATTATTGGAGCACCGCTGGGCGGGACAGGTTCTATACCAAAGCACTCGACAGGTGAGAAAACTAGCTATACTAGACTTTGATACCGTTCGACACAGAACAATCCAATAATTATGATGTATACAGTTCGTTAATGTGATAAAACACTTCATAAACCAGAATGATAACTTGTAGAAGCGCAATCCATTTTTTTATGTTTATAACCCCCTCATTATGTCGCGAGATAACGGGGAGAAGAGTAACAGATACCTTCGTATTACTTCATAATTATTTGTTTGGAAGTGTGGTAACAAGTTGTTGCCGTTTCACGCAGTTGTATATTTAATTGGCATGAATATGCTGTGAATATGCTGTGAATATGAATTGTGAACAATTTATCAATATGGATTTGAGTTCCATGAATCTTCTCCGTCAACAACACCCAACATAAGTTTGATCTCTTTGACAACGAGGCTCCCATTATGTACAGATCCGATCGTTCTGAAAAGACACGCCTATTCAGAGAAGTGACCTTTCCCCATGGTCCCTGGGTGTCGTGGGAGAACGCGTCATAAAAACATGCCTGTTCCTGACGACAGTTCGTCCAACATTTGGTGTACTACATGACCAGCAGTGATCCACGCGAAACGGGTGTTAGATATGGGAATCATGGAAACATAACAGGATTTATAATGTATAAATTATAATGTACAAATATTAGCATACCCGATATGACTGTGGTATTCCTGTGTGCACAGTTCCCAAGTCACCCGGGCGACAGGCTAGGCTATTTTCTGCGTTCTTCTATACAGAATCGATTGGCCTATATGTTCAACTGGGTACTGAATAAAAAGTCCACAATCGATTACTTTGTAGAACCGCGCGGGGTTGTTGTACACCGATACGGGTGTAGCCTACGTTCTCCTTATAATTGATATCTTCGGTTGTTATTGTCGCATAATGCATATCGTAATCGATATAAAATGCGATGTGATAAATATGCAAATGAAGCCACCTGTGAAGACCTACTTTTCCTGTCAACATCGATTTAGTGTTGAGGCTTACGATCACAATATAGCGCTGATTTAATTCAACACTCCGGTGTAGTGTTAGACTGCTTACTTCTTAAATATATATCGTTTCAATGTATGGTATTGCTAGAAATATGATATTGTAATACAATCTCATTATATTTACTATAAACTGTAATACTACAATCAGCTTACTGATATACAGCTTTGGGTATTAATTTTGAAGGGTGGGTATTGCAGAGAATTTTCATATTGCGATATATTGCGATGCGAAAGCATGTATTGCGATATGTATTGCAATATATTGCATGACGTATTTCTAAACAAAAACTACTTATAATCCAGTTACTGCTTGATTTATAGAGGAAAAACACAACAAAATCACTATGCTTGATTAAGCTTTAATAACAACTTTTAATCATGATAAAATATAAATGTGAATAATATTTGGCACAAACGAAAAAAGGAAATATCCGAAGATTTCCGAGTGTTACGAAGTTTTCCGAATGCATGTCAAACTACCGGTTTTCGATCAGCGTATCGCAATACGTATCGTTTTCACGTCTGAACCGGTAAACCGGTTATATTGCGCAGCCCTATTAATTTTCCACCATGTACAGTAATACTGCAATTAAGCTCACCCATGCACAGCTTTAAGTGTGGCTTTTCCACTATAAAGTAGTGTAAACAATAATAAACAATACATATAATTGTGAACTGATAATGCGCCTTTTCCAAGCTCAAAGCACTAACACACAATCTGATTATTACCCCGGATAACCCAAGCTGCCTGTTAGGCGCTAGAGGGTTATAGTCACATGACTTTATTCCACCGTGTACCCTTTTTTGCTGGATGTACAGAAGCAAGTTTGAACAAACTCACGTACCTAAGGTGAGACCAAATGTATTCGTTGTAGGGCAGGACTGAAATCCTAGAAACTCTCAGGAGTCAAGCTGCCAAACACGGCCACTCATCTAAGGACTGTCCGCGTTGCTTAACTTCAACTGATATGTGACCTGAGCTCTACGCACAGGGCAACACACCACCACAACAGTAATACTACAATCGACTTACTTTTGTACAGCTTCAAGGTGTTAACATTTCCACTATAAGTACTATTAACTTGGGCTGTGAATTGGGAAATAAATTGTATTCAATATAATGCAATGCTGGTAGCCTTATTCCCATACGTATTGCGAAATACATGTCCTGGGAGCTTCAGCGAGGGACATTGATTGTACACGCAGAGCCTATTTCTACATATTAAAGCCCTAAATAAGTGCTATGGTTATGATAACAGAAATCCCAAATTAACTTTGATTTTGAGGGATTGAACATTCTTTTTTTATAAAATTTATTGAATGTAATGTATGTTGTTTAAGTATGACTTTTCCAATACAAAGTACTATATACAGTCATACTCGCTTATGTACAGCTTCAAGTTTTACCTTTTTATTATAAGTACAAATGTACTATTAAGTTGTGTATTAACTGTAATACTAGAATTAACTCACTCATACACAACGTCAGGTATTACCTTTCCACTATAAGTACTGTTAAGTTATGTATGAACTGTAATACTAGAATTAACTCACTCATACACAACCTCAGGTATTACCTTTCCACTATAAGTACTGTTAAGTTATGTATTAACTGTAATACTAGAATTAACTCACTCATACACAGCCTCAGGTATTACCATTCCACTATAGGAACTATTAAGTTGTGTATTAACTGTAATACTAGAATTAACTCACTCATATACAGCTGGCTGTATAACGTGCTGGAAGACCTTCCAAATGTCCTTAGACCCGTGAAGGTCCGGGTTAGAATGAGCCTTCAGTAACCCATGCTTGTCTCAACCCGTGAAGGTCCGGGTTAGAATGAACCTTCAGTAACCCATGCTTGTCTCCACCCGTGAAGGTCCGGGTTAGAATGAGCCTTCAGTAACCCATGTTTGTCTCCACCCGTGAAGGTCCGGGTTAGAATGAGCCTTCAGTAACCCATGCTTGTCTCCACCCGTGAAGGTCCGGGTTAGAATGAGCCTTCAGTAACCCATGCTTGTCTCCACCCGTGAAGGTCGGGGTTAGAATGAACCTTCAGTAACCCATGCTTGTCTCCACCCGTGAAGGTCCGGGTTAGAATGAACCTTCAGTAACCCATGCTTGTCTCCACCCGTGAAGGTCCGGGTTAGAATGAGCCTTCAGTAACCCATGCTTGTCTCCACCCGTGAAGGTCCGGGTTAGAATGAGCCTTCAGTAACCCATGCTTGTCTCCACCCGTGAAGGTCCGGGTTAGAATGAACCTTCAGTAACCCATGCTTGTCTCCACCCGTGAAGGTCGGGGTTAGAATGAGCCTTCAGTAACCCATGCTTGTCTCCACCCGTGAAGGTCGGGGTTAGAATGAACCTTCAGTAACCCATGCTTGTCTCCACCCGTGAAGGTCCGGGTTAGAATGAACCTTCAGTAACCCATGCTTGTCTCCACCCGTGAAGGTCCGGGTTAGAATGAACCTTCAGTAACCCATGCTTGTCTCCACCCGTGAAGGTCCGGGTTAGAATGAGCCTTCAGTAACCCATGTTTGTCTCCACCCGTGAAGGTGCGGGTTAGAATGAGCCTTCAGTAACCCATGCTTGTCTCCACCCGTGAAGGTCCGGGTTAGAATGAGCCTTCAGTAACCCATGCTTGTCTCCACCCGTGAAGGTCCGGGTTAGAATGAACCTTCAGTAACCCATGCTTGTCTCCACCCGTGAAGGTCCGGGTTAGAATGAACCTTCAGTAACCCATGCTTGTCTCCACCCGTGAAGGTCCGGGTTAGAATGAACCTTCAGTAACCCATGCTTGTCTCCACCCGTGAAGGTCCGGGTTAGAACGAGCCTTCAGTAACCCATGTTTGTCTCCACCCGTGAAGGTCCGGGTTAGAATGAGCCTTCAGTAACCCATGCTTGTCTCCACCCGTGAAGGTCCGGGTTAGAATGAACCTTCAGTAACCCATGCTTGTCTCCACCCGTGAAGGTCCGGGTTAGAATGAACCTTCAGTAACCCATGCTTGTCTCCACCCGTGAAGGTCCGGGTTAGAATGAGCCTTCAGTAACCCATGCTTGTCTCCACCCGTGAAGGTCCGGGTTAGAATGAACCTTCAGTAACCCATGCATGTCTCCACCCGTGAAGGTCCGGGTTAGAATGAGCCTTCAGTAACCCATGCTTGTCTCCCCACCCGTGAAGGTCCGGGTTAGAATGAGCCTTCAGTAACCCATGCTTGTCTCCACCCGTGAAGGTCCGGGTTAGAATGAACCTTCAGTAACCCATGTTTGTCTCCACCCGTGAAGGTCCGGGTTAGAATGAACCTTCAGTAACCCATGCTTGTCTCCACCCGTGAAGGTCCGGGTTAGAATGAGCCTTCAGTAACCCATGTTTGTCTCCACCCGTGAAGGTCCGGGTTAGAATGAGCCTTCAGTAACCCATGCTTGTCTCCACCCGTGAAGGTCCGGGTTAGAATGAACCTTCAGTAACCCATGCTTGTCTCCACCCGTGAAGGTCCGGGTTAGAATGAACCTTCAGTAACCCATGCATGTCTCCACCCGTGAAGGTCCGGGTTAGAATGAACCTTCAGTAACCCATGCTTGTCTCCACCCGTGAAGGTCCGGGTTAGAATGAGCCTTCAGTAACCCATGCTTGTCTCCACCCGTGAAGGTCCGGGTTAGAATGAACCTTCAGTAACCCATGCTTGTCTCCACCCGTGAAGGTCCGGGTTAGAATGAACCTTCAGTAACCCATGTTTGTCTCCACCCGTGAAGGTCCGGGTTAGAATGAACCTTCAGTAACCCATGTTTGTCTCCACCCGTGAAGGTGCGGGTTAGAATGAGCCTTCAGTAACCCATGTTTGTCTCCACCCGTGAAGGTCCGGGTTAGAATGAGCCTTCAGTAACCACCCGTGAATGTTAGAATGAACCTTCAGTAACCCATGCATGTCTCCACCCGTGAAGGTCCACCCGTGAAGGTCCGGGTTAGAATGAACCTTCAGTAACCCATGCTTGTCTCCACCCGTGAAGGTCGGGGTCAGAAGGTCCGGGTTAGAAACCTTCAGTAACCCATGCTTGTCTCCACCCGTGAAGGTCCGGGTTAGAATGAACCTTCAGTAACCCATGCTTGTCTCCACCCGTGAAGGTCCGGGTTAGAATGAACCTTCAGTAACCCATGCTTGTCTCCACCCGTGAAGGTCCGGGTTAGAATGAGCCTTCAGTAACCCATGTTTGTCTCCACCCGTGAAGGTGCGGGTTAGAATGAGCCTTCAGTAACCCATGTTTGTTTCCACCCGTGAAGGTGCGGGTTAGAATGAGCCTTCAGTAACCCATGCTTGTAAGAGGCGACTAACGGGATCGGGTGGTCAGGCTCGCTGGCTTGGTTGACACATGTCATCGGTTCCCAATTGCGCAGATCGATGCTTGTGCTGTTGATCACTGGATTGTCTGGTCCAGAAATGATAATTCACAGACCGCCGCCATATTGCTGGAATATTGCTGAGTGCTGCGTAAATCTAAACTCACTCACTCCAAATGTCCACAAAGCTCTCTGAGATCTTAATCATTATTATCATCATTATTTGTTCGTATTCTCAGAATGCCAAATATTTGAGACATATGCATTCGAAAAGCGATCCAAACAATTTGGTAAAAGTGTCTCAGTGTCCTAAAAGATGCAAGTTAAACTGTCAAAGCGTTTCATTTTAAACTGTGTACACCACAAACTAACACGAGAAATTATGGTGAATGGGTACCTTGATTTATTGGGTATTGGTCCCTACACTTTGTGAACACGTATATATGAATACACAACACCATGTCCAGAAAGTGGTCAAGTGGCCAGTATGAACAAGAAGAGACTTTAAGACTCTCACACTTGCTTATCAGTGCCTTCACTCAACTGCGCCAAGTTATCTAACTGACCTACTCTCCAAGCACAGTCCTGTGAGAACATTAAGATCAGGAAATCTTCATCTTCTGGAGATACCAAAACGCCATCTGAAGTCATTTGGCTACCGCTCTTTCAGCTATGCTGCACCTTCTCTCTGGAACTCTATTCCCCATGGTATCAGACTGTCGCCAACCCTAGACAACTTCAAATCTCATTTAAAGACATTCCTTTTTCGAAGCCACCAGCTGTGATCAGCAGAGTGTGTTTCAAATGAAGGACATCTTCTGCTTGCCCAGATCTATATATCTATTTTCCGAAATACGAATGCTAATAGGAGATTAGGTTTTTAAAATGTGTTTCCCTCCTTGTAAGAACCACATTCGCTCTGTATCGCTGGAACCTTACACATGCCAGTAGTCCGTCTCATACTCCAAAATTTCGGCCCAACCCCACGCACACACACGCACACGCACGCACTAACTCACTCACTCACTCACTCACACACGCAGACACACACACCATAATTACAGGATCCTGGATCCTGGCCTCTGAAAATAGGAACTTTTGATTGCAGTATATAACTCCGTATATACTGCATTAGCCCCAGTGAGCTCGGAGATTCAGAACCAGTGGGGGTCTAGACTGGCTTCATCTTGGACTATTTGCATTACAGAAGGGGTTGGGCCGAAAGTTTGGAGTATGAGACGGACTACTGGCATGTGTAAGGTTCCAGCGATACAGAGCGAATGTGGTTCTTACAAGGAGGGAAACACATTTTAAAAACCTAATCTCCTATTAGCATTCGTATTTCGGAAAATAGATATATAGATCTGGGCAAGCAGAAGATGTCCTTCATTTGAAACACACTCTGCTGATCACAGCTGGTGGCTTCGTAATATCTGTTGGAACAATGCAGTTGACTACAGCCGACTTGGTAATGTTCATCTAGGTGAGGTCTGTCAATATTTTAGAGCTTGCGCTGTATTGTCGACGTTCAGCAGCTGATGAAGATAATGATTCACGTGAGCCAATTCCATGATGCGATAACTATTGTCAATTCATTCACTCGCTGCTTGAAGGACAACGTAGTCATGCGACATACTGAAATCGGGAAAATGAACCACAGTTGGTGTTTTTGTATCCATCTAGACGACTGACTGACTGAGTTTTACGCCGCTTTTAGCAATATTCCAGCAACATCACGGCGGGGGACACCAAAAATGGGCTTCACGCATTGTGCCCATGTGGGGATTCGAACCCGGGTCTTCGGCGTGACCATCGATCTAGACGAGGTCACCCACTGCTGTTAAAATGTATAGACGATTTCAAGGTTTTCCACGCAAAATCTAAAGCATCTGTCAACGTATATACCAACTTCTGTAGGTGTATTGAAAAGCTGACAGTAATTAAACGCAACCTGACGGTTGGCTCTCAGGTACGACTTATGCAGAGGCCAGTTGATATTGGCGACATACATTGTGTTGTCTATAATAGCATTTGGAATGATCTACAATCTATATCATGAGACTGACTATGCATTTATTCATTAACCATTCTCACAGGTTCACAAATATGTTGGGCCAAAATTGATCTTTAGCAACCTATGTTGTCGTAAGAGGGAACTACTGACTGAGTTTGGTTTTTTTTACGCCGCTTTTAGCAATATTCCAGCTACATCACGGCGGGGGACACCAGAAATGGGCTTCACACATTGTACCCATGTGGGGATTCGAACCCGGGTTTTTGGCGTGACGAGCCGACGCTTTAACCACTAGGCTACCCCACCGCCCCCGTAAGAGGGAACTAATCTGATCAGGTGGTCGTTCTCACTTACTTGTTTGATGCAAGCCATCGTATCCCACATCGTGTCATGACCATGCTATAGGTAACTCTTTGTGTATATCATTACATTTTACTTAAACCGAGGCCTGCATATTTTTATGAACGTTACAGTAGAAGCAAGATGTTTATATGAATATTATCTAGGAATTTCTTTGAGTTGTCCATAAAAGTAGGCACTTAATGTTTTGTATTTAAAGCAATACATTTCTGTCGCAATAGATCTTCATAAAATATTCCTCTGTTCCTCCTTGATAAAGTTGCAAATAAGTTAAGACTAAATCGTTTCCTTCTTCAACATATCCATGCATGTAAACGTCAATGTACAGGAAGGTGTTGCTGTAAGAGGTTGAATCTGTTGTGTACTTCAGCATGTGGATGTGGACTTGAAACATGTTCCCGTGATCTTGACATTGTTGACATTGACTAACATGTCAACTGGGAATACACTATGACTATAACTGGGAATACACTATGACTATTAAGAACAATATATACGAATTGATATGAAGGCACTGTTGCTTGCGTCATGATAGCATGACTGTGTGTATATTTGGTGGTAACATACCATAACGCCTTTCTGATCAGTGTGTCATATCTTTTACAATGTACCCCACTTACGAAGATCGATGCTCATCGTGTCAAGACCATGTCGTGTGTAACTCTTTGTGTATATCATTACATATTACTAAAACTGAGACCCGCATATTATTATGAACGTTACAGTAGAAGTGTTATAGTGACTAATTCAGGACAACAACCATCGTCTAAATATTTAAAGTAAAAAACTATGTAGTCAAGACATGTGAGAGTTTATTGTAATTATTTACAGTGTAACCAAACAGAGATTAGAAGTTTACAGATTTTTGGGACGCCTGAAGAGTATGCCCCGTCATAGACTACCGAGTTGTATCCATGATTGGTCTCTCCACAGAAGTCATTCCTGGGAAAAAAATGTTTTTAAATTATCTAAAAAAACTCAATGTTTATGAGCAAATTAGCAAATCTACAGTAGACATGCCACAACTTCGACGAGAGCGTCATATCATTGACGAATACAGTTGGTTTTGTGAACTATGGAATGACCATGGCAACCCAAAAGGAAATAAACTTCGAACATACCGCCTAACCAAGAAAGATTTGAAGCCTGAAGCTTATGTTTTAAGTCGGTCCATTTCACGATCTTCAAGAAGGATGTTCGCACTCCTTCGTTGTGGCAGCCTGCAATTAAACATTGAAAAACTCAGGTACAGTCGACCCGCAATACCTCTCAACGCTAGGGTGTGTCCCTTCTGTTCGGATAAAATAGAAAATGAAATCCATTTTCTTGTAGACTGTGATATGTACAACGACCTGCGATACGACCTGTTTCAAACTATGAAACAATATGATGTATATCCATCCTTTAATAACTCCTCCTCAGTTACTAAATTTACACATCTATTTAACACACCTGGCATAGTCCATCTCCTCTGTGATACTGTTATAAACATGTATAAACGACGTCAATCATTATCTTAAATATTATACACTACTTGTATCTTAAGTTTTAAATGTATTAATATTCTACTCTTTCATTCATTAACACTAGATGAATGCAACACATGGTGTATGAATGTTAAGTATTGTAACAGCAGTACGAATGTACGTAACTATATTGTACTTCATTGTATTGTTTGTATTATGTTAATGATATTGTGTGTAGGGTATCTGTATTCTGCATACTAGTATATGTGGGTTTTCAATGTATGATTATAATACATGTATATTTATGTGTGTGTATGTATGTATGTATGTATGTATGTATGTATGTATGTATGTATGTATGTATGTATGTATGTATGTATGTATGTATGTATGTGTGTATGTGTGTGTATGTATGCGTATGTGGGTATGTGTGTGTGTGTGTGCATGCATGCATGCGTGTATGTATGTATGTATGTATGTATGTATGTATGTATGTATGTATGTATGTATGTATGTATGTATGTATGTATGTATGTATGTGTGTGTGGATGTGTGTGTGGATGTGTGTATACGTGTATTAGGTCTGTATGTATGTGTGTATGTATGTATGTATGTATGTATGTATGTATGTATGTATGTATGTATGTATGTATGTATGTATGTATGCATGCATGCATGCATGTATGCGTGTATGCGTATATTATGTGCGGTTGTATGCTGTTTTGTATATGTGATTATATGTTTGTTTGTATGTATGTTTGTTGTATATATGTTATGTATGTATGCATACCTGTACGTGTTAACTTCAAATGTATACGATTATACGTGTGCTGATATTTGTAGGTTCACAATGTTTTTATTGATTTAATATAGTCTCCCATAACCTAACGGGTGGTTTCTGTACTATTAACTTTTGTACAAAACGCATTCATTCTATGACAATGTACAGAAAGTGAGACTCAAATAACATTATCTCTCTTTATATGACGCTAATCTGTATTCTATGTAATCCTTATCACTTCCGCATTGTACATTGACTTGTCAGGCCCCTTAATTACTGTAAATGTCATATAAAGTAATTAATGGCCTGACAAGTCAATGTACAATGCGGAAGTGATAAGGATTACATAGAATACAGATTAGCGTCATATAAATAATTACAATAAACTCTCACATGTCTTGACTACATAGTTTTTAACTTTTTAAATATTTAGACGATGGTTGTCCTGAATTAGTCACTGTAACAGAAGCAAGATGTTTATATGAATATTATCTAGGAATATCTTTAGGCTGTCCATAAAAGTAGGCACTTATTGTTTTGTATTTAAAACAATACGTTTCTGTCGCAATAGATCTTCATCAAATATCCCTCTGTGATAAAGTTGCAATAAGGTACGACTAAATCGTTTCGGTGGACCTTCTTCAGCTTCATATCTGTGCATGTAAACGTCAATGTACAGGAAGGTGTAGCTGCAAGAGGTTAAGCCTGATGGGTACATCAGCATGTGGATGTGGACTTGAAACATGTTCCCGTGATCTTGACATTGTTGACATTGACTAACATGTCAACTGGGAATACACTATGACTATTAAGAACAATAAATATGAATTGATATGAAGGCACTGTTGCTTGCGTTATGATGACATGACTGACTCATCATTGTTTGGTGAGCAAAGAAAGACATCTTGAATAATACAATAATACATTTAAGAGCTCTCTGTTATGTTGTGTGATTTTAACGATAGTCTAACAGTATGTTCTACATATTTGGTATCGTTGATACTATGTGAGTGAGTGAGTATGGTTTTATTCCGCTTTTAGCAATATTCCAGCAACATCACGACGGGGGACACCAGAAATGGGCTTCACACATTGTACCCTTGATACTATGTAAAGCATGGTGCTGTTACTTTTGAACAGACATTATGTAATATTTTGCTGATCTAAATACAAAGTACCAACCTTTGTTTCCTTGTGGTTTTTCATGAAAACAATGCCAACCAAAGGTATATATGATCTTCAAATGATATAGCTGAATTAGAAAAACATTTTTTTTTTAATTTGTAAAGTTCAACTCATATTTTCTCATTAAATGCCCTTTCTATTGAAATTGACCTTTGACCTTACAAAAATATTTTGCGATGAGCTTATATGTAATGTTATTGTCCACAATTATAAATCATGATCTGAGCATTCCAAAACAACTATTTTGATGAAAATCGGTCAATCCAAACCAGAGTGATTAAATTACACCATGCAGCTATCAGTTAAAGTATTGCCACAACTGACATTACATGTTTCACCTTTAAAGGGCCCCTGCACGGTAGTCACGCACGGTAGCTGATGACAACCGGCTGGCAATCAAAGCTAAATCATTCCCGATTGTGAAAAATCACATCCCATTCGGTCGCCAAAACTGCACCACATTTTCACCATTTTGGGGGACTGGCTTCTAGACCAGTAAGTAATAGTCCGCTTATATGGCGCTCATATCCAGGCACATTGCCCGCTCACGGCGCTACGTACAATACTATCCCCGGTCATAGGACACTATCGTACTTTCAGATACTTTTTCAACTCCCTGGGGATCATACAGCCACGCTGCCTGTTAGGCGCGATGAACTAAACACTCACATTGCCAGCACATCATCACAGGTACCCATGTTACAGCTGGGTGAACTGTAGACTTGTCTATTTCAGAAGTTCAGTAATCTTGATATGAGTACAACTATTCCTGACTACTTGAATTTATGTTTTGAGGTGCCTATGTGTGGTGATGATTTTAAGGGGGGAGGGGTGGCACCCATTTTGATCTGGGGAGGTAGGGTGTCAGCAATTTTGTACACATGTATTAGGGGGGGTCAGCAATTTTGTACATAATCATGTTAAAATATATGCTTAAAAATTATGGGAAGGGGGAGGGTGGTCATTGATTTTGTAAATGATATGCAAGAGATGGGGGTGGCGTCACTTACTTAGTACGTAAATTTTAGGGGAGTCATTCACATTGTTCATGTTTCTGCATATAAATCATCATCAACCCCCTTGCCATGAATTATGAGCGGTCCCTTAGCAGCTTAATAATGAAACCCTCGTCCACATTCAAATTTCGGACTAGTGAGTTCTTTTGGGGGCGAGTAACTTTCAGGCATAGCAAGCAAATTTGGAACTACTTCGCACACTGGTTGTAATCCACGTTTAGAAAATTTGTACCATCTGGGAAGGTGATGTTTTGAAGGTCGTTGCTAGGAGTAGGATTCAGTCATGAAAAAATGCATTGAATTCAACGAGCTGAATGTGACATGGCTGGTGAGGTGTTGAAGACTGTGCTTGTACTGAACACCCGCATGTGCTTAGTGAAATGTGGGACAGAATGGCGGAGTAATTGGGGCATATATTATGCTCTACGAAGCCATCAGTGATAACCTGTTGCTCTCTTATATACTACTCGTCATTTATATAAGATCAAATGATATATAGCACATGTAAAGAAAAGTTTCTCAGAAATAATAGAACTAAGCGTGTCCTCATAATGTTCAATGTGTTGACACACGTGACACATCGTGACATACAGACAAAACGTTCAAACAGCACTAGCAAACATCAGTTGTATAGACCAACCCCTAGCATGAAAATGACAAACATGAAGCACTCGGTCATTCAATATTTTGTGTACCCCTCGCGCGTCCAAGACCCAGGTGCACCTTGTTCTCGTGCTCCTTATCAAGTTCATAAAGAAAGCTTTTGGGTATCAATGGCATGAATGTTCATTTTGGTGATATTTGATTAACTTTGTCTCTGGGAACAACATTCATGTTACACGAATGTATCTGCTCTTAAGCCTCTTGCGTGTATAAAATCTCGAGTGTGTTGTACATGGAGGCGTCAACGAAACACTTGTTTATAAAGTCTCGAGCGTGTTGTGCATGGAGGCGTCAACGAAACACTTGTTTATAAAGTCTCGAGCGTGTTGTGCATGGAGGTTTCAATGACACACATGTTTATAAAGCCTCGAGCGTGTTGTACATGGAGGCTTCAACGAAACACATGTTTATAAAGTCTCGAGCGTGTTGTGCATGGACGCTTCAATGAAACACATGTTTATAAAGTCTCGAGTGTGTTGTACATGGAGGCTTCAATGACACATATGTTTATAAAGTCTCGAGTGTGTTGTACATGGAGGCTTCAATGACACATATGTTTATAAAGTCTTGAGTGTGTTGTACATGGAGGCTTCAATGAAACACTTGTTTATAAAGTCTCGAGTGTGTTGTACATGGAGGCTTCAATGACATATGTTTATAAAGTCTCGAGCGTGTTGTACATGGAGGCTTCAATGACACATATGTTTATAAAGACTCGAGCGTGTTGTACATGGAGGCTTCAACGAAACACATGATTATAAAGTCTCGAGCGTGTTGTACATGGAGGCTTCAATGACACATATGTTTATAAAGACTCGAGCGTGTTGTGCATGGAGGCTTCAATGAAACACTTGTTTATAAAGTCTCGAGCGTGTTGTACATGGAGGCTTCAATGAAACACATGTTTATAAAGTCTCGAGCGTGTTGTACATGGAGGCTTCAATGAAACACATGTTTATAAAGTCTCGAGCGTGTTGTACACGGAGGCTTCAATGAAACACATGTTTATAAAGTCTCCAGCGTGTTGTACATGGAGGCTTCAATGAAACACATGTTTATAAAGTCTCGAGCGTGTTGTACATGGAGGCTTCAATGAAACACATGTTTATAAAGTCTCGAGCGTGTTGTGCATGGAGGCTTCAATGAAACACTTGTTTATAAAGTCTCGAGCGTGTTGTGCATGGAGGCTTCAATGAAACACATGTTTATAAAGTCTCGAGCATGTTGTACATGGAGGCTTCAATGAAACACATGTTTATAAAGTCTCGAGCGTGTTGTACACGGAGGCTTCAATGAAACACATGTTTATAAAGTCTCGAGCGTGTTGTACATGGAGGCTTCAATGAAACACTTGTTTATAAAGTCTCGAGCGTGTTGTACACGGAGGCTTCAATGAAACACATGTTTATAAAGTCTCGAGCGTGTTGTACATGGAGGCTTCAATGAAACACTTGTTTATAAAGTCTCGAGCGTGTTGTACATGGAGGCTTCAATGAAACACTTGTTTATAAAGTCTCGAGCGTGTTGTACACGGAGGCTTCAATGAAACACTTGTTTATAAAGTCTCGAGCATGTTGTACATGGAGGCTTCAATGACATATGTTTATAAAGTCTCGAGCGTGTTGTACATGGAGGCTTCAATGAAACACATGTTTATAAAGTCTCGAGCGTGTTGTACATGGAGGCTTCAATGACACATATGTTTATAAAGACTCGAGCGTGTTGTGCATGGAGGCTTCAATGAAACACTTGTTTATAAAGTCTCGAGCGTGTTGTACATGGAGGCTTCAATGAAACACATGTTTATAAAGTCTCGAGTGTGTTGTACACGGAGGCTTCAATGAAACACATGTTTATAAAGTCTCGAGCGTGTTGTACACGGAGGCTTCAATGAAACACTTGTTTATAAAGTCTCGAGCGTGTTGTACATGGAGGCTTCAATGAAACACTTGTTTATAAAGTCTCGAGCGTGTTGTACACGGAGGCTTCAATGAAACACTTGTTTATAAAGTCCCGAGTGTGTTGTACATGGAGGCTTCAATGACATATGTTTATAAAGTCTCGAGCGTGTTGTACATGGAGGCTTCAATGAAACACATGTTTATAAAGTCTCGAGCGTGTTGTACATGGAGGATTCAATGACACATATGTTTATAAAGACTCGAGCGTGTTGTGCATGGAGGCTTCAATGAAACACTTGTTTATAAAGTCTCGAGCGTGTTGTACATGGAGGCTTCAATGAAACACATGTTTATAAAGTCTCGAGCATGTTGTACATGGAGGCTTCAATGAAACACATGTTTATAAAGTCTCGAGCGTGTTGTACATGGAGGCTTCAATGAAACACATGTTTATAAAGTCTCGAGTGTGTTGTACACGGAGGCTTCAATGAAACACATGTTTATAAAGTCTCGAGCGTGTTGTACATGGAGGCTTCAATGACACACATGTTTATAAAGTCTCGAGCGTGTTGTACATGGAGGCTTCAATGAAACACATGTTTATAAAGTCTCGAGCGTGTTGTGCATGGGGGCTTCAGTGGAACATTTCTGGTGTCCCCCCGCGGTGATATTGCTGCAATAAAGCTAAAAGCGGCGCAATGAAGGAATGATGAAAGGAGTGGAAAACGATGTCTTCCCAACGGACTTAATTGAAATGGTCCCGTGAAGATCCGGGTTAGAATTGGTCTTTAAGAACCTATGCTTGTCGTAAGAGGTGACTAACAAGATCGGGTGGTCAGGCTTGCTGACTTGGTTGACACATGTCATCGTATCCCACTTGCGTAGATCAATGCTCATGCTGTTGATCAGTGGATTATCTGGTCCAGATTCGATTATTTACAGACTGCAGTCACATAGCTAGGAATATTGCTGAGTGCGGCGTTAAACAACAAACTAACCAGTCTTAACTGAAATGCATCACAAAGGATTACCTCTGTAAATATCGTGTTTACCCCTTCCTGGTCCGGACAGACACAACATGGCCAGGGCATAAATCGTGTAAATGCCCTGTGTACATAGACAGAGCTAGGTAATAAAGAGTATTATATACACACGGACAGGAAGCCATTCTGCAGCACCTGTGAGGCATTCTCGACAAAAGGTTATCGCTTCAGCCTGTGGTAACAGTGTTATCAACTTATCAGGTTTTAATACCCGGACGTGAACATACAATCGCAACAAGGCCTTTCTGAATACCACTCAGTATATCCTTTAACACTCTGTCAATACAGAATGCCATTAAGGAAGTGGTGAAATATACACGCGGGTTTACACTTTCTCGGTAAAGTACTGTGTATTTCATAACATTCGGAACCCGTGAAGGTTAGAATTGATCTTCAGCAGCCAGGCTTGTCATAACAATTAGATTCTGTTCACCACCAAGGTGTAAGACTTTGTCTCGGATCTTTCAGAACCCCTCGAAGATCCGGGTTAGAATTGATCTTCAGTAACCCATGCTTGTCGTAAGAGGCGACTAACGGGATCGGGTGGTCAGGCTCGCTGACTTGGTTGACACATGTCATCGTATCCCACTTGCGCAGATCGATGCTCAAGATGTTGCCCACTAGATTGTCTGGTCCAGACTCGATTTGGTCCAGACCGTCGCCATTTAGCTGGAATATTGCTGAGTGCGGCGTTAAACAACATAACCAACCAACCAATTTTACCTTTCGGCTAATTGTTTATTTTGCTGTACGGGTGTAGTATGGCTACCTTTATCGTACGAGTGACTGTGGTGCTCATTTCAAATATGCGTTATCTGCTCATGTCACCAACCACCTATCACCGAACACCGATCAATGTCATATCACCAATCACCAATATATTCAGGAACCATGCTGTCATATCTCGTTTCTCTTTTATCTTTAATGGAACCCCCCTCGGTGGGACAGGAGAAGCGATTACATAAAATTTTCAGCATGTACACAATGGTGAACCCAAACATTATGAAGAGTTGTACCTCACACTGTGATGTCGTCAGTGTGTTCCGCGATCACGGCTTCCTAACGTGCGTGACTTTGTTACTGTGCCTGGACAAAACTCAGCCATCCGAGAACATTGATCTCTCTGATGTCGTTGTCTGGACAAACCTATTGTTAAGGCCTTTGGTTGAAATGTAGAAACCAATTGGTATAGAGGTCAGGTGTTCGAGATGTCAACTCGCGCATTTCAGTTGTATTTTGTTGTCAGCTTACGCTGTGCGAAGTCGGCCAAGTTGCAAATGAAGTCGGGTACGGTACATGTATCAGACTAGCACAATGCAGTGCCGGACACGGGTGTAGTCGGACAAGTTGCCATGCTAACCTTCAGGGTGTAGTAGGACACGTTGCCATGCTAACCTTCAGGGTGTAGGACACGTTGCCATGCTAACCTTCAGGGTGTAGTAGGACACATTGTCATGATAACCTTCAGGGTGTAGAAGGACACGTTGCCATGCTAACCTTCAGGGTGTAGTAAGACACGTTGCCATGATAACCTTGAGGTGTAGACGGACACGTTGCCATGCTAACCTTCAGGGTGTAGTAGGACACATTGCCGTGATAACCTTCAGGGTGTAGTTGGACACGTTGCCGTGATAACCTTGAGGGTGTAGAAGGACACGTTGCCATGATTACCTTGAGGTGTAGACGGAAACGTTGCCATGCTAACCTTCAGGGTGTAGTTGGACACGTTGCCGTGATAACCTTGAGGGTGTAGACGGACACGTTGATAGTGTAACCTAAATTCGTACTCGGTTTGGTTGCCAGAGTGTCCAACAGAGTGTCATCGGACACGTTGCCAGGCTAACTTCGGGGTATAGTCGTACCCATATTATATGCTAAACAGGACGCCCATGGCCCGTGTCAAGGTATTTTGGTTCTCAGGTCTCACTGCACAGAGCTACACAAAGACTATTATGATCAAACAATAGTAAGGCCGGATAATCCGGTTATGGTTCGAAATATCTCACAACAGAGGCGATGCCAGTGGGTATCGGCAGGTTAGGGACTGTCTCAAAACCTCTACATTACCTGGCACTGTTCCTCTCTGTTCACGATGAGTCAGACATAATACAAGGGACGGCTATTGAGACCTCGTTAGGATTGGTATCTGAAAAAAACGGTATCGGTTTCCAGGTTTCTATTCTTTACTTGGTTATCCATGCGTGCGCTTTCCCATTTGTCCTATATTTATTTGATCTTTTCCAACTGTATTTGCAGCCCGTGTGCAAATGATTGTTATCATTGATATGGATGAAATGATGTAGATAAAACCTTCACGTTAACTTCGATAATAACATAATGTGGGATTGTTGTGCAGTAGCGGAAACGATTAATGTAGTTCTATCGAAATGTTTGAATCCATACTGGAATAGTGTTCCGAATACATTGTGTCTCTGCTCTGTGCATGGTTGTACTCGATCCTATCGGTGTAACACTACCAGACCACGTCCATCTGGTTGTACTCGACACTGTCGGTGTAACACTACCAGACCACGTCCATCTGGTTGTACTCGACACTGTCGGTGTAGCACTACCAGACCACATCCATCTGGCTGTACTCGACACTGTCGGTGTAACACTACCAGACCACGTCCATCTGGCTGTACTCGATACTGTCGGTGTAACACTACCAGACCACGTCCATCTGGCTGTACTCGACACTGTCGGTGTAACACTACCAGACCACGTCCATCTGGCTGTACTCGATACTGTCGGTGTAACACTACCAGACCACGTCCATCTGGTTGTACTCGACACTGTCGGTGTAACACTACCAGACCACGTCCATCTGGTTGTACTCGACACTGTCGGTGTAGCACTACCAGACCACGTCCATCTGGCTGTACTCGACACTGTCGGTGTAACACTACCAGACCACGTCCATCTGGCTGTACTCGATACTGTCGGTGTAACACTACCAGACCTTGTCCATCTGGCTGTACTCGACACTGTCGGTGTAACACTACCAGACCACGTCCATCTGGCTGTACTCGATACTGTCGGTGTAACACTACCAGACCACGTCCATCTGGTTGTACTCGACACTGTCAGTGTAACACTACCAGACCACGTCCATCTGGTTGTACTCGACACTGTCGGTGTAACACTACCAGACCACGTCCATCTGGTTGTACTCGACACTGTCAGTGTAACACTACCAGACCACGTCCATCTGGCTGTACTCGACATTGTCGGTGTAACACTACCAGACCACGTCCATCTGGTTGTACTCGACACTGTCGGTGTAGCACTACCAGACCACGTTCACCTGGTTGTACTCGACACTGTCGGTGTAACACTACCAGACCACGTCCATCTGGTTGTACTCGACACTGTCGGTGTAGCACTACCAGACCACGTCCATCTGGTTGTACTCGACACTGTCGGTGTAACACTACCAGACCACGTCCATCTGGTTGTACTCAAAACTGTCGCTGTAGCACTACCAGACCACGTTCACCTGACTGTACTCGACCATGTCGGTGTAACATTACCAGACCACGTCCATCTGGTTGTACTCGACACTGTTGGTGTAGCACTACCAGACCACGTCCATCTGGCTGTACTCGACACTGTCGGTGTAACACTACCACACCACGTCCATCTGGTTGTACTCGACACTGTCGGTGTAACACTACCAGACCACGTCCACCTGGCTGTACTCGATACTGTCGGTGTAACACTACCAGACCACGTCCACCTGGCTGTACTCGACACTGTCGGTGTAACACTACCAGACCACGTCCACCTGGCTGTACTCGATACTGTCGGTGTAGCGCTACCAGACCACGTCCATCTGGCTGTACTCGACACTTTTGGTGTAACACTACCACACCATGTCCATCTGGTTGTACTCGACACTGTCAGTGTAACACTACCAGACTACGTCCATCTGGTTGCACTCGATACTGTCGGTGTAACACTACCAGACTACGTCCATCTGGTTGCACTCGATACTGTCGGTGTAACACTACCAGACCAAGTCCATCTGGTTGTACTCGACACTTTCGGTGTAACACTTCTAAATCACGTCCATCTGGTTGTACTCGACACTGTCGGTGTAACACTACCAGACCACGTCCATCTGGTTGTACTCGACACTGTCGGTGTTACACTTCTAGACCACGTCTACCTGGCTGTACTCGACACTGTCGGTGTAACACTACCAGATCACGTCCACCTGGCTGTACTCGACACTGTCGGTGTAACACTACCAGACCACGTCCAGTTGGCTGTACTCGACACTGTCGGTGTAACACTACAGACCACGTCCACCAAGCTGTACTCGACACTGTCAGTGTAACACTACAGACCACGTCCACCAAGATGTACTCGACACTGTCAGTGTAACACTACAGACCACGTCCACCTGGCTGTACTCGACACTTTTGGTGTAACACTACCAGACCACGTCCATGTGGTTGTACTCGACACTGTCGGTGTAACACTACCAGACCACGTCCACCTGGCTGTACTCGACGGGTGTGGTTAGTCAGAAAATATGAGGCGAAATGTCAAACTCATTAACACCTAATGGGTGATTTAACTCATTCATGTCGGAATACTTAACTCACGCCTGTCACGTTCGTTATTTCATTCAATCTCATGAAACGTATAGAAGTCAACATGATGTAAAGCATCATTGAGACAAAATGGACAAGTGTATTCCGACGTCTCGCTGTGGTAGATGGTTTCGTGCAGAATGTTGTTTGGAAAGGCTAGTCAAACAAACAACTGAAGGCTTGGACTCACGAAGATGCCACCCCAACGTCATCGTCCAAATGAGATCCGGGTTAGAATTGGTCTTCAGCAACCCATGCCGAAGGGATTGGGTGGTCAGGCTCGCTGACTTGGTTGACACGTCATCGTATCCCTACTGCGTAGATTGATTTTCACGATGTAAATCACTGGATTGTCTGGTCCAGACTCCAGATTAGTCACAGACCGCAGCCGTATAGTGAGTGACTGAGTATGGTCTTACGCCACTTTTAGCAATATTCCAGCAATATCACGCGGGGAACACCAGAAATGGGCTTCACACATTGTACTCATGTCGGGAATCGAACCTGGGCCTTTGGCGTGACGAGGCTTTAACCTCTAGGCTACCTCACCGCCCCTCCATATAGCTGGAATATTGCTGAGAGCGGCGTTGAACAACAACCAAACATCCTCATCCTCCAATTCAGCCTAGCGCTTGTAATCACAAATTGCCCTGTTGTTTGAGGTGAGGTGAAATTGGGTTTAACGTCGTGCTTGAGAATATTTCGCTCATATGACGACGTGCATGCGTGTGTATGTGTATGTGCGGCTGCTTGTACTAGCCCAGACTGAAGCCGGTTTTATAGTGCTAGCCCACTGAGATATCATGCCGCAGTGAAGCATGAATACCCCACTCAGACACATTACACTGACTCCGAGCCGACCAGTCCTTGTTGTACCCAATAATGCCAAGAGCCTGGCAGGGAACAACAAGTACCATATTTTAACGTATTTTGGTATGACGCGTTCGGGGATCGAACCCGCGACCTTCCGCTCTCCGGGCGGACGCTCTAACCACTACACCAGGGAGGCGGTCCCTGTTGTTTGAGGCCACTCGACCAAGCAGATATCTGGCAGCAGTTGAGCTACTTTCTGTTTACACTTGTCCAAAGGTCTGCATGAACCGTTCAGGCTCGATGACATGCTGACGTGGATAGGTACTCATCACATCAACCACTGGGTCGACAACTCGATACTCTACACGCTGATTATTACAGACCGCCGCCATGTAGCTGGAATCTTGCGGCGGTAAGCAAGGATGAAAGCCGGGGTGGGTCAATGGGTTGGATCCGGTATAGTACTAGAATCTGTAGAAAGTGTTGTCCCAGATTTTCTACTTGTTGTGTAACGCCGCACTCAGCAATATTCCAGATATATGGTGGCGGTCTGTAAATATTCGAGTCTGTACCAAACAATCCAGTGATCAACATCACGAGCATCGATCTACGGAAATGGTAGACGATGACATGTCTAAACAAAGTCAGGGAACCTGCCCACCCGATACAATTAGTCGTCTCCAATCCAATTAGTTCCCAAAAGTAACCCGGACCTTCACGGGTATATCCCAGATATAACATAGGTAGGTTCCAACACTGTTATCAAGCAGGTGATGATACAGCGGTTGTTCATCCATATATTTGTTATCCTGCCTTAGTGCTCGAACTTATAATGCCCCCTGAGGAGAAACTCGAAAATCCACCAATGAAATCTTGTCCTGAAATGTGTACAGCAATGAATGTAAGCATTGGCAGGTCTATATATTGTAGGAATGTCAATATAATTCGCTATCACAATAGGATAGTCTGGCCATGGATATTGGATCGATGCATTGCCTCTTCACTGATCGAAGTACCCTTGTTCTATCCAATATATATGGAAGAGGCACTGTTGAGATGACCTGACCGACGAAAGCTTTAAACTTGTGTTTGTTCAGTCAGGATGATTAAACAATAAAGACCCGAGAAAACACCAAAAACAGCTTGTGATACGGTCCCTTTATGAGAAAAGACAACTGGGTGGACCAGGTGACATGAACGTATGTAGTAGTGCAGCAGTTACTGTGGAGGTAGTTATTGACGTGGGACGGTCGCATCTTTGTTGTCAAGGTCGCTGTAGCTGTTTACTGCCGTCGTCAAGGTATGTGTCGTGATGTTTCCCGGTGTGGATGATGGCGGTAGCTGGGTGGCGGAAGTAAAGAACGGCGACATCTCCTTTGCTTATCTTGGTAGGTACCTTATAGATAATCGATTTAATGAAACCGGAGTTGACATACCGTCACATGGCGTGGGTTTGGGACTCGACGCTGTGTTTGGTGTTTAGTGGTGCTTTCTCTCTACACTCTCTCTCTCTCTCTCTCTCTCTCTCTTAACCGAGGCTGTCTGACCAATGGAACCGTGTGGACAAAGGGTTGATAAACAAGGGAATATTGCTTCTGTATTCCAGATTCTACCTCAGTCCACTAGGTCGATGACACTGCGTGTATGAGGAAAGTAATTTTCGACCTGCAGACGATTGTCTGTTAATAATTGAGTTTGGGTTAGACAACCAACTTGGAAAGTGATTGTCTCTTCTTGGTTATGTATTTAATGCTGGACATGTACAGAACACTATACCAGCACTATGACGGCGGTCTGTAAATGATTGTGTTTGAACAAGACAGTTTAGAGATTAACACCATGAGCATCGATCTACACAATCAGGATGCAACATGAATCAATGAAGTAGTCGAGACTGACTACGCGTCCTACCGCGAGCATGGTTGCTGCAAACCAATTCTAACCCGCATCGAAACAATTGTATCAAATCGTTATATCATCGAAATACACAATGCCATTTTAGAAAGTGGTCAAATGTAACATATGCTATATTTGGGATTACACTTTCTTAGTAAAGTACAGATTCTAGTACTTTTGGGTTGAGTCCCATCGCGGTGGCTGAGCGGTCTAGGCGTCTGACTTTGTGTGGTGTCGATTAGGTGCCTGACTCTGAGGGTGTGGGTTCGAATCCCGGATGGAACTCAACCCAAAAAAGTACTAGAATCTGTACTTTACTGAGAAAGTGTAATCCCAAATATAACATGTGTTACGTTATATCATCGTTATCACTTTGCCTCACTGACGGGCGCCTGCATCGCTCATTAATCTTATGGCCATGACCTATGTGTTTCACGGTTTTATCACCTGGTGTCGCATGAACACACTGTGTAAATCCACAAACTGTCACCACACAAAATGACTGTATTACCCAAATTTACTAACGTCAGGAAATACTCGTTTCATCCGGCCGCCACATGAACAACGTTTGAAATCTACGTATCGTCTGGCCGTCAGATTTACACACGTTTAAAGGGGTGTTAAAATGAACGAACATTCAACTCTGCATTTACATGTATTTCACAGGTGTGTAAATCTGGCCATTGTTTTCATGTGTTTCCTAACATGTGTAACATATGTAAATGCTGTGATTGTAGGACATGCATTTCAATACCTTTGAAATCTCGTATGACCAGGGTTAGGTTTGTCATATATTTAGTACATGCGTAAATGGTTGGAAATGGGTAAATATAGTGTTACAAGATTAGAACTGCTTTAACATGTATTTCAATGGTTCTGTAATGTAACCGCCACATAGGGTTTGTTAGCGCGTCCGACCACGCCATAATGTACTGAGATAATTAGAAACACATGGTGAAGTGATACCCATGACTGAGCACCACTAATAACGTACGTGTCTTTCTTGACATACACATGGTGTCTGTTTAAAAGGTTCAAATATCGGGTCTATGGGCCAGAGCGATATGTATGTTAGGGAATGTGTATGTGTGCGAGGGAGAGGGTGTGGCATGGGGTAGGCCTAGGGTGGTGTGGTGGTGTTGGGGTACTGATAAGTCTTTCTGACCAGTAGGTAATATGGTTTATACTTTTTGTAATGGAAATTACATAACAGTTTAAGTAACTGACCTTAGGTACACTTCTTATATATGCTATACAAGGAGACACTGCTAATTACAATAAAACACAGATAGATGTGTTCACACAGACATGAACCGGTAGGTCCCTAATTTTAGTGCTCACTTGTATGAGTTATCCGACTGATCATAACTGAACAAATTTCATTATCTATACTTTCATAAAAGATGATTACAATGTATTAATGATTCCCGGAGTAAATTACTGTTGTAAATGTGTGAACATGCACATACTTGGTATGACCACTTTTTGATTCGGAATACAGGTATTATCCCATACGGACGTTTTCTCAAATTTCAGTTACCCGACGGAATATACTGTAGACATATTTTGTTTCCATCTCTTGGGTAGACTATAGAAAATTGTAGTGATTGCAATTAGCTCATAATTTTCATAATATACCTATTTTGTGCCATCTCTTGGGTAGACTATAGAAAATTGTAGTGATTGCAATTAGCTCATAACTAAGCAGTTTCGATAATTACTGAAAGCTTACTACCTGACAGCATCATGTTGCTCATGCGTTTTCTTTTTAGCTTTTGCTTTTTGATGTCTAATTTGTTATACATTTTGGTATCTCAATATCACAGAATATAATGTGAACTTATTAATCTATCAAAGTACCGAAACGTATTATCTGTATGCTTTACTGTTATTGGGTGAAACTGTTAAAAGTACCTGCGTACAGAATTTCCAGGAAATAGAAACTGAAAATTACTAAATAAATGGAAAACTAAATTTATATTCCTCTATTTATTTATATTCCTCTTTTTAAATTATCAGTGTGCAGATCACGTCACTAACATAAAAACTGAAGGATATATAGTAACAAAACTGGGTTCACTCTTGAATGTGTAATAAATGTACCAATGTATATTCTTTAACAGTATCAAGGAATGATGGGGGTACGCTCGTGGTTAAAATGTTTGCCTGTCAGGTCAAAAACCGGTGTTTGATTCCTGACATAGGCACATTAAGACTGAAAATATACTATTTTGATAAAAGGCAAAGATCTTAATTTCAACTGAAAAAAGAGACGAAGTAATTTTGAAGATTTACAGACTAACAACGTCTATATGGTGCAGGAAGCATCTTCAATTATAAAATCACATTTCACAAACATCAGATAAAGGTTTAAATGACAAGCATATTTATTGGTATCTTGCCAAGCTCTGTCCTCTCTCAATGCAGTATAACCAGAGTGCTGTGGTCACTACCTCAGGTGGCCAAATTCAGCCATCCCCTAACTTTACATAGTCCTAGGCCAAATGTTAGAAAAGTCCCTATCTTTTAGGATCTCTCGGCAGCAGTGAAGGCGTTATCCAGTAATTGGTATGACAACTCCCACCCTCCAGGGATTCTTGTCAATGTGGAACTAGACACAGAATGTATCAGGTTTCCTTAAACTCACAAGGTTTACCCTGTTGTTGAAACAAGTGTCCACATGTTCATAGACCAACTGCATGAGTATTAACCACATGGTTTAATGGACGGTGACAAGCACTGATGTTCAACATGATCAGGATATGCAGTATGGGTGATAAGGCCTGGTGTATCATATTACCTGATAATGATGTTATCTCTACATTTGGCCTAGGAGTATGTAGGAAATACCATGAGACAAGCTGTCAAGTACGTTCCAATGCCCTGGCTAATATGAGAGAGGAAATAGCCAAAGTTTACTTCCCTTCCTGGTTGGCCTCAGAACTGGCATTCAATAAAATATGCAAGAAGTTGATACAAAATACCAACTGTACTATTGTACTTCCACAACTCACACCTCGGCATTTTCAGTTGTTGTTTTTTTTCTGTTTTTGTCATAGATAAGAATATGTATTTTTATAGATCTTTATATGAAGCATTTATTAATATTTTTTTCTCCATTAGTATGCATACAAAGCAATATCCCACATCCATGATTACCTGTTTTTTTAATATAACAATGGGCTTATATTTCACATTTTACAATTACCCTGTTTAACAGGAAGTTAAGTGGAGCCTATCCTATCAAATTAATCAAAGTTTACAGCTAGCCAAATTTTAGTTTATTTTTTCATATATAGAAAAAGAGATTGTAGTATCTGGAACTAAAAAAAGAATAAACAACACATTTTGTGCAGAACCCACATCACTGGAGAACTACAGGTGAAATAATGTTATAAAACATGACACAAAGGCATCTTGAGACAGAGCAATTCACACTGTTGTGGCAGGCACTGTGTGGAATGGTGAACAAAGTATCACATATAATGAGGACTCATATATGTAAAACATATTCTAAACTGGCATACAGCTGTTTCTAGTTCAAGGAATCTTTCATGAATAACCAACAAATCTATAAGTCCTAGGCCAAATTGTTGGAAAAGTCCCTATCTTTTAGGATCTCTCGGCAGCAGTGAAGGCGTTATCCAGTAATTGGTATGACAACTCCCACCCTCCAGGGATTCTTGTCAATGTGGAACTAGACACAGAATGTATCAGGTTACTAAAACACACAAGGTTTACCCCGCTGTTGAAACAAGTGTCCACATGTTCATAGACCAACTGCATGAGTATTAACCACATGGTTTAATGGACGGTGACAAGCACTGATGTTCAACATGATCAGGATATGCAGTATGGGTGATAAGGCCTGGTGTATCATATTACCTGATAATGATGTTATCTCTACATTTGGCCTAGGAGTAATAAGCTGTAATGTTACTGAGAGCGGCATAAAACTAAACTAAATCAATCAATCATTGTTAAGATAATGACAGACGCTGAAGTCAATTTTTGACGTAGCGGGTGGTCGTTTACCAAGACATTTAAATTTGGGCAATACTTAAAATACAATAAACTACATAAAGTTGATATATATCAGGAACACTAAGCCTTCAACAACCACACATGATTCATACATAGTTCAGTCGATACGTGAATCCCTCACAGTTATTCGAGGATGTCATTGTGCTATTCTGCCGAATGGGTACGAGTTAGTGAGTTAGTGGGTGAGTGTGTGAGTGAGTGTGAGAGTGAGCGTGAGAGTTTGTGATTGAGTGAGTGACAGTGAGCGTGAGAGTGAGAGTGAGTGCGTCATTGTCCACCCAGCTAACAATTTCACGTTGTCACAACGTTATGCTTTCGTTGTTACAACGTTATTCTGTGGACTCCTGTTTACGTTGTTACAACGTTATTCTGTGGACTCCTGTTTACGTTGTCACAACGTTATTCTGTGGACTCCTGTTTACGTTGTCACAACGTTATTCTGTGGACTCCTGTTTACGTTGTCACAACGTTATTCTGTGGACTCCTGTTTACGTTGTTACAACGTTATTCTGTGGACTCCTGTCTACGTTGTCACAACGTTATTCTGTGGACTCCTGTTTACGTTGTTACAACGTTATTCTGTGGACTCCTGTCTACGTTGTCACAACGTTATTCTGTGGACTCCTGTTTACGTTGTTACAACGTTATTCTGTGGACTCCTGTTTACGTTGTTACAACGTTATTCTGTGGACTCCTGTTTACGATGTCACAACGTTATTCTGTGGACTCCTGTTTACGTTGTTACAACGTTATTCTGTGGACTCCTGTTTACGTTGTCACAACGTTATTCTGTGGACTCCTGTTTACGTTGTTACAACGTTATTCTGTGGACTCCTGTTTACGTTGTTACAACGTTATTCTGTGGACTCCTGTTTACGTTGTCACAA